CTTTCCTGAGGTCGCATACATAAAATCTCTTCTCCGACACAAAACGGAATTTATTTTAATCCCACTTGGATCTTATCAGACTTATCAGCTCTTTGGTACAAATATTGGGCAATACTCAGACACGAATAAGGAAGAGAATGTCTATAAAGATATGAGATTTAAGTGCACAAACATCACTCAGAAGTCCCCGTTTCTTTTTCTAGAACTGTTGCAGCCAAACATCGCTCTCAGAAACGCAATCTGGAGGAGATCCATAGCCTACAATAAAACTATTTCTACCTATCCTAGCTTCAAATCTAATTACGATGAGAAGACTAATATTGCCTTAATTACATTCTGAAGGTTTCCTTCATTAAGGGATACCTAGAAGTACAAGCAACCAAGGTCTCAGATAAACACGCCTGTGGTTTGTGAGATCCAGGCACGTACCTTTGAAGCTTGAGTGCTTTGTACTGGGAACGGTACAGAAAACCCAATATTGAAAGTTAAACTTAGGCACCAAATCACTGAATGCTAACCAGCAGACATCAAGGAGATGATCTGTTATTGCTGCTATGTCAGCAGTGCCCTGTTCCACCAGGCCCTGCAGGGTGGTGGGGAGTGGAATGAGCAGGGACAGCCCCATCCTGCAGGATGGAGAGGCAGAGGCAGACCTTCACCACCTGCCAGCTTCAGTTTGAACACCAACAGCGCTGCAGGATGTGTCCTGTGCTGTAAACAGTGTTTATGTATGCAAGTGGCCAGCTAGGTGTATAATTGCCCTGTTACGTTTGTTCTCAGTTGGAACTTGTGAGCATTGGGCACATTCAGTCTTGGCGCTGCAACATGCAGAGCAGTGCATTAAGGCATCAAAAAGGGTAACTTAAAAGTCATTGCCATGGCGACGTGACAACTTATTTTGCAGTATAATATGTTCTATGAAATATGTATGATCTTATTTTATATATAACATTTGTTTTTAGCATTTCATTTCTGATAATAGCCTTTTAATGATAATCACGGCCTTTTAATGATTGTAATAATTAGACTCTTATAATTCAAGATGTTTTATGTTAACTATGCTGAAATCCTTTAAAAATGTTTATTTTTCCCAGCACTTTAAAAGCTGCTTTGCTCTTTTGCAGTGTCTGGAATCTGTTCGGAGCAGCACTCAGAAGCATTCCGGGGGCTCCTTCCTTCCCCAGCTGTGCAGGGCTCCCCGTACCTGTTTCTTCTTTCCTTAAGAATGTGATAAGAAGGATGAAATCGAGCATCCACCGTTTTCATAGGAAGAGCCATCAGTAACGTTCTCCATCTTTTTATTAACCACAGATGGTTGCAGGATGGAATGCTGGCGACGAACCTGTAAACAAAAGGCTGAGAACAACACCACCAAACACTGAGTACCCAGAGCTGGAGGCACTGCCTGCTCTCCCCAGAGCAGTCAACAATGTTTCTGTATAGTCTTTGCTTTTTTCTCCTAAAACTAATATTCAATAGCAAGGTGACTTACATTCCCATTCTTTGAAGAAAACATCTTTACTGACTTTCCAGTTAAAAGTATTGACAGCTTTCAGTAAGGTAATATATCCAGAGGGGAAATCTCGATTCATTTGATCTTGCAGTGCCCCATATTAAATAGGAAGGTTTAATTATACATCTAACAGTTACTTACCCTTTTTGACATAGTTTCATTAGACTTTTATTGAAGACAGGGCTCGGGAAATAGAGCACCATTAATACTTTTTTTTGGAGGGTGGGGGGCTTCATCTCCTACATTCTAGGCACTTAATGAAGTGCACTCCTGTGCCAAGCAGGCTGCTGAGCTCAGCAGGACTCAGACCACACCCCAGCAAGTCCCATATCAGCAGGTTCATCGTCTGCCAAGATGTGTGGGCAGAGCACAGCACCTTCCAGCCACGTGCTTCAGATGTGACAGAGCACCTTGGGGATCCTATAGAGACCATGGAAAGCCTGCAGTAGTGCCACTCTCCAACTGGGTGATGGCAGTGGAGGAGAGGTTCTTCTACTGCTCCACAGCAATTTTGGTGGCAATGCTTCAGTTTCCAAGGAGAGATCTCAACATCATCAGTACTAAGAGAAAAAGACTGCAGCCTCAACAAAGCTGCAGTTCCATTGACTTACCAGCACGAGCATCTCTACTGCAACTCATCTTCATCCATCTCCTGCTCACACTCATAACTGTGCTACAAGCTGGCATGGAGTCTGCTCAGATGGCAGGGAAGTTGTAAAGGTCATTATATTGGAGATTAAACCACATCTGAGAGCTGATAGCACTCGATAGCATAATGGAGTGCTCAGATCAGGTCTGTGGTGACCACACCTCACATACATCAACTCAGTTATGGCTCTGTGAGGCATCATGACAGAACTGTGGGGTGCTGGTTTGATGGTAAGTAGCCAGCAGAGCTGAAATCACATTGCACTGCATAGCACTACATCAGCACATCTTCAGCCAGGTGATGGTTCAACCACAAGCAGATGGTGCTGCAGGAACAGTGTTTCCTCAGATGTTTTAGAGCACGATGCTTCTGAACAGATGTGGGAGATCAGCCAGTGCTGCTTGCCAACTTCTGCCCTGGGGAATAAGGCCACAGGGACAGCAAGCTCTGCAGCTCTGTGTGCACACAGGGACACAGCACTGCATGCTGCCATGGTGCATCAGCACTCTCCTGTGCTCCTGTCCCCCGCAGCCCTGCACACAGGTCTTGTCCTGACCGAGATGGAAGGAGTGGTTCTGCCCAGCCTGAAAATGAATCCTCTGGGAGATGTATGAATCCATTATCATTCACCCAGATATTTTAACACTTTCAATGAAAGAAAACCTCAATTTAAGAAATAATTATAGTCGATCCCCTCTCTATAGTAACAATGGAAAGAGAACATTATCACCATCGCTTGTGGCAACAACTTGAACTGAAATGGGCTAAAGAGGAAAAAATAATTAGAATGAGACACACATGCCTGACTCTGAAAGAAAGATTGTTTATGCCTAATACATTAGAGAAATTGCCCAAGAAGAGTTCAGCAAGATCCTGCCTTATCTGCCGCTCACAGGGCGCTGCACGTCGGCTCCGCGGGCTGCAGCAGCTGAGCAGGCTGGGACCAACACCAGCTGCCAGCAGGAGGTCAGCAGCCCTGCAGACAGGTGTGCGGGATACACTGCATAGCTTTATCTACAGGAGGCCCTTGGGAAAAACAGAGATTGAGAAGAGCAAGAGCATCACGCTGCACACCATCTGCCCCAGGAGAACGGCTCCACGCTGCTCACCATTGTAAGGGGTAATGAAAGGCAGCGTTGCTTATCAGGAGCCAGGCCACACGTCTCTGCATCCACACTGGCTGTGGGCACGGTGCATCATTCCTTTAGCACTGTAACGGGCCGCTCATGCAGCAGTGCGGGGTCAGAGCACAGCACTCTGGGCTCCTTCCAAGTGCAGAGCCACCAGGACCCAAGCAGGAGGACCTCAGGCTGGAGGGAAAGGCAGCGCATTGGGGATGTACACACCCACACAGCTATACATACCTATGTGTTACAGATACATACTACACGTTTGTGTTGGTGTGTGTACATACCTGCTTTATTCATATGAACCATCCTGCCCAGAGCTGTACTCTGCCCTTTGGCAGAGGAGGGTGGCCAAGGAGCAAAAATGTTAAATCCATTGGTTGGTCTGTGGTAGCATCCACTGGCACTCTGCTCCACGTGTGTGCTGGAATCTGGAGCAGAAGGAACAGGGGACATGAAGAGCTCACAGCCAGCCCTTTTCATCCTGCGTGATGTTACCTGCCCACAGACACCACCGCCTCTGGATGTCATTGGGGTGAGGCTGACAATTGCCTACACTTACCTACTTTCCTACTTTCCTGGTTCACATAAGAACATGGTGATCCCACAGAAATAAAACTCTGAAACTCTGCTTTTTTTTTTTTTTTTTGGTAACAGAATAAGAAAGATGTACTCATCTAGCTCTCTTGGTATCTGCCAGCAGCTGTAAAATAAAAGCAAACAATAAGGACACAAGCTGCCTCTAGCTCCCCAGACCAGGTATGAGCCAGCCATGGTATATCAGCCCTAACCATTACATCTTGCTAGCACAGACATTAGTCCCTGCCTTGTTTCTCCATCATCAAAATCTGAGAAAGCTCATCTGTCCTACAGCCGCATCCCCAAGGCCGAGATGTGGGAGGTATTTCAAAGCAGTGAGTGAAGAACCAAGGGTGCTTTGCTGGCAGCCTCCCTGCCTGCAGCCCGGCCAATGCAGGGGAGGAGGTGGTTTCCCCAGCAGACAGTCACACACAGCTGGATGTAAAAGCCCTTTTCCCACGAGGCCTGCTGCACTCACTGGCTCCACTGTCCTGACACTGCCTGGAAAGAGAATAGTAATATTGAAAATGCGGCCAAGAGTGGTACAAAATAATCATTTGTGTGTCCCATTAGCACTGCTTTTTGCTGAGCATACCCAAGGGATGCGAGGCACCGACCTTCATTGCATGGGGTTGGGGGGCAGCCCAGCACTGCTTTTCCCATTCGCCCTGCAGTCAGAGCGGAGCTCCTTCCAGCTCCTCCCCGATCTTTCTCCGCTGAGCTCTGACTCTCACACAGGAATACCTTAAAGGTATTTATTAGCATTAAGATCAATAGTTATCAAATCCTTCCCGATTCTATCAAAAAGTGATTCTTGTAAACAACATTATAAGAGGGCATTTTGAGCCTCCTAAGCATTTCCTTCCTTCTTTAAAAAAAAACATCTAAACTCTTTAGAAAGCCTGAATTCATGCTGCCATCTGCTGGAAGGAGAGCTTCAGCAAAATGGAAACATTTTACAAGCTTTTTTATAAGGAAAGGTTGAGGGATCTGGGCTTGTTTAGCTTGGAAAAGAGAAGGCTGCAAGAAGACCTCATTGTGCCTTCCAGCACTTGAAGGGAGCGGATAAACAGGAGGGGAACAGCTGTTTGTGAGGGTGGATGGTGATGGGACAAGGGGGATGGTTTTAAACTGAGACAGGGGAGGTTTAGGTTGGATTTGAGGAGGAAGTTTTTCAGCCAGAGGGTGGTGAGGCACTGGAACAGGTTGCCCAAGGAGGCTGTGGATGCCCCATCCCTGCAGGCATTCAAGGCCAGGCTGGATGTGGCTCTGGGCAGCCTGGGCTGCTGGTTGGCGACCTGCACACAGCAGGGGTTGGAACTGATGAGCGTTGTGCTCCTGTGCAACCCAGGCCATTCTATGGTATTCCCACAGAAAAGACGGGATGTGCTTCACTTCCCTGCAGTTGCTCTGCTTAATTGTGAAGGACTAATTTTGTTGATTGGCACTGAACATCTATAGAAAGACTAGGTGCTAAGCAGTAAGAAATAAGCAGAAAAGGTAGGAAAACAAAAATCCTAATACTCCTTAAGGATTTGCTCTTGCAGCAGGGGTACAAGGCAGAGTAGTAGCTCCTCTTGCACCTTTGCCAGTTTGTAACTGTTTCATAGAAGCCAGTAAGCAAATTACGCTGCTCCTCAGTACTTTCTTTCAGATTAGGAGAGGCTGCAGCTGCCAGTGTGCTCCCATGCCAGGTGGGAGCCTCTCAGATTCTGTTGCTCTGGGGACAGCAAGGGTGTCCCTGAGGGCCCAGGGACAGCCTGGCTGCCCCTGTGCTGGAGGGCAGGGAGGGAGGGCTGGCCTGCAATGCCACACATATCAAAACATGGGGCCACAGTAACACAGAGAGAATAGGTTTTATTAGACCTAGAGAAGGACAGTTAAACATGGCAATAAGCCAATAACCACGTTTTAAAAATGCAAGAATTTTGCTAGTAAGAAGCAGTCAATAGAAGCAAGAACCTCCTACAAATTCATTTTACATTCAATATCTGTTCAAGGACAGAACCAGGGAAGAAATATAATGATATCTGCTAAATACACTCGGGAAGGAGATGGTGGAGGATGAAGTACTATGATATAAAGTGCTATGGTACAAAGTAAATGAAGTCCTTCACATAAGGGTTAATTGCTGGGTAACCACAGCTTATTGCTTACAGAGTGAAATATCCATGCTGTGAAGGCATCTAGGAGCGTTAGGCACAGAGATCAACGGGGTGGCAGAAGGGGCACACAGTGACCAGCAAACTGCACTCAGCATGTAACAAACACCCAGCACGTAACACCCAGCATGAGACACCCAGCATGAAATACCCAGCATGAGACACCAGCATGAAACACCAGCATGTAACACTCAGCAAACAATGTCCTGCAGTGCCCAGCAAACAGGAGCTGCTGCTGTGCCATGCTCAGCTCAGCACAAAGATGAGGACCAGCAGCAAGGGAAGTTCAGGGCCAGCAAATCCACTTGTACTGAGGAATAGCAACAGGCAGAGCATGGACTGAGAGAGGCAGGATCTTTGCAGTCTCTTGTCCTGATGCCCCTTCAGAAGAGAGTTAATTTTTGTAACACTGGACTGCTAGAACAAATTAGGCATGACATAGCCTTAAAGTGTTGTTACCACGCAGCTTGTTTTACCAGGAGGAAAACAAACTGTTGCCTGAGCAATGCATGGAAAAATAAGACCAAGAAAACTGCCACAAGCAAGAAGCTGCCAGCTGGCAAAGCGCAGGGCCCAGTCAGGGTCCTGCCTGGATGTGGTCCTGGGAAACATCAGAAACATCAGAGCCAGCCCTGCTTTCAGCCCCGAGCCAATTAGCAGTGTGGTTCAGCCGTGTGTTTACGTATAGCGAGACACCTTCTTCTTCTTTTTTCAATAGGTGATAATGTATGTTTAATGTCAGCATTTTAGCTATGGGAGTGTGAGCAGTTTAACAGAGCACGTGGCTAAAAACACTCCGTGGATGAAAAAGACAGAATTTTAGAGGCCAGCAGTCTGTATGAAGGGCGGGAGGCGTCAGAGAACGGCCGGATCACATCAAACAGTGAGAGCACTGCTGGAGATGGGCCATTTGGATATTAAATAAGCAGGCAGAATTTCTGTAAATGCTGAACAAGAGACATGACGGAATGTTATTTTCCCTAATCTGTTCACGCTGTAATTATGGACTCTATACTCCAGCTAAAAAGATCATTTATCTTAAGCTGAGTGTTTCAATTGCTTTTTGTCCAATAGATTACAGATATTAGCTTCAAATGGTAACTAAAAACAGCAAAGAAGTTTCAAGTACAGCTGATGCGCCTGTAAAATATTTAACGTTTGCCTTGCATATGGCTTTAATAAAATAATTTATGTCTATTTTTGCAGAAGCTTTTTCTCACTAAATTAGGTATGATTAACAAATTAATTGATTCTGCGCAGAAAAACTAATTGGGGCGGGGAGGGGGGAAGGCTCTTTGCAGACAAATGTCATCAGCTGTGTATTTCTAATAGCGCAGTGGTGTTAATCCTAACACACACACTGTTAGTTGTTCTATGATCTGATCCGGGCCTGAAGGAGGATTTCTGCACACAAGTGTATTCCCACAGCTGCACAGACGCACAAAGAATGCACTGAAAGTAAACCAGGAGCAGAATGAACCGAAACAGAGAGCGGCTGAAATCAAGGCAGAAGATGTGCGAGGAGAGCTGCAGGTGGGAGCTCCTCCAGCAAGGCAGAATTCTGCCCTTTGTGGCTCAGATCTGCACTGCTGATTCTCTCAGTGTTTTATAAATTCTAAGAATGAGTGCTTTTAAGGAATATTACATCTTGGCAATTAAGTCTATACGAGAGCTCAGTTCAAATTATGAAATGACACCGAATTTCAGCATTGCCATAAATACTCACAGCTCGAACGTTTTATTTGAGGCAACAGTGTGATTACACGTCTTCTGTTGGAAGCGTGTGAGTGTGCTGTTCCTGGAAGGAAAACATATTTTGATAGGATCTAGGTTTATTATGATTAAGTGAAACAACCGTGCTCAGAGATGCATGTGCTTGTTTTAACATTACACCTTAGTGCAGGAGCTGGTGAAGTGAGGCGTGTTGAGAGGGAAGGCTGGGAGAAACTGACCAAAGGAATTGCCCTTTGGGGCTGTAATGCAGTATGCTCAGAATCAGACCCATTGGCATTCAGCACAGCAGTAAGTATTTACTGATGTACAGCTAGACAGAGACATTGTCATTATCTAGTCTGCCCTTCCAGATAAGACAGCTCATCTTCATTCAGTATTCCTATCTGAAGCCCATAATTTCTGGCTGAATAGAGCAGAGACATCCAATTTGATTTAGTGACTCCAAGTGATCGACCGGATCTCTAAGTGGGCTGTTCCAACGGCCAATTACACTGGCTGTTAAATAATTGCTCTTTATTTATTCTCCACATATGTCTGTCACACCAGCTGGCAGACACAGGGTGAATCCCTCACAGGGGTCACACAGGTCCTCCTGTCTCTGGGACAAATAGTTACACCCAGACAGTTCACATGGCTCTGTGTCACCTGTCTATCTTCTGCAACACCACTGCTGGGTTTTATTCTGCTTAGCCTGAAGAATAAGGAGCTGAAGGGGAGTGAGCTGAGATAAAGAAGATGCATCTTCTTCAAAAGCTGAACGATCTAACGGTGCAGAGGGGGCATTAGCTGGGAATATGTGAGAACTAACTCTTTCAGGTCTCATTCTCATTAATTAAGAGGTAAATTTCAAACCTAGAGGACACAGCTCAAACAACTCAGTGACAGGTGCAACCATAATGCAATTCAGGATGTGAGCAACAGGGCAGCACAGAAAGCAGTCACAGCAGCATTCCTCCTGGTCCATTCTGCTGCATTCTCTCCTTAGCACACCTACAGCTCAGTTCAGTTCTTGTTCCAAAGATTAAATAGTAGATTAATCACTGCTTAAATCTGAGAACTGAAAACATGTACTTCAGAAACATCTGCAGGATGAGGCCGGGGGGGGCAGGGCAGGGCAGCAGGTTGCAGAGAGGCTCCTCCACAGGAGAGGCAAGAAGCCACGGCCAGCTCACAGCACAGCTGCTGTCACACCGACCTTCCTGTTGTCTATTGACAACAATTCAAACATGCGCAAAATACTGAAAAAAAAATTATTTTGAACTACAGCTCTTAAGTCAAACCCTTTTCATTGCCCATTGAATCACCAGGTAACTGCTGTTGCCCTGTGCCCAGCTACAGCAGTGCACAGCTTGCACAGCACTGCCCGGCATGAGCGCAGGGCTGCCCTGGGGAGCTACTGGCCTTGGCACAACAGCAACAGCTGCATAGGGCTGAGGTGCAGCTGGAAACGTCATTCACTGATGCTAATTAAGTCAGTGAACAGAATCACAGAATGGCCCGGGTTGGGAGGGATCTTAAGGATCACGAATCTCCAATCGCCCCCCCCTCCCCTCCCCTGCTGCAGGCAGGGCCACCGACCTCCGCACTGAATATAGGAGATATGGTTTCACGAGGATGCGTGGTGCTCAATGTAGAGAGAGCCGAGAGCGTGAGCCGGGCTCAGACGGACTGCAGCCACCCTGCCCTGGGGGGCCGTGCCGCAGTGACAGCCCACCCCACAGAGCAGCAGGAGCACACAGCATCCTGCCTGTCGTCTTCTGTTTACAGACATGGAAAACGATGGAATTTTGGTAACTTTTTTAAAGTTCCTAAATTATTTCCGGTAGCTGCTTCTTACTTTTCTTTTTTTTTTTTTTTTTTCCCTATAGTGCTTTCCAGCCACTTGTGCCGTAGGATTTAGGCGCAGACAAATGCTGCCTCTCCCCCCGATTCTGAGGCCCGCACACTCCGCAAGAGGCCGAGGCCCACGGCTACAAAAAGCAACTCGGGGCGGAGCACCGCGGCGGATCGCGCCCGGCAGCGCAGCCCGTGTTCAGCTCCGCTCCAGCAGCTGCGCACGGCGTTCCGCCCCCGCCCGGCCCGGCGCTTCCGGGTAGGCGGCGCCCGTCGGCGCTCGGCGGAGCGCGGGGCGATGGCGGCGGCGGCGGGCGGGCGGAGCGCGGCGCGGCGGGCGGCCACGAGGCGGCGGCTGGAGCGGTTCGCCGCGCTCCGAGGTGGGGCGGCGGGCGCGGGGCAGGCCGGCGGGGCGCGGGGCGGGCGCGGGGCGCTGCCGTGGATCCGCGGCCCCGCGGGGAGCGCGGCCCGGGCCCGGCGCTGACCGCGTTCCGCCCCGCCGGACAGGCAGAGTCGCGAGGCACGGCGAGTTCTGGGACCTGGTCGCCATCACCGCCGCCGACGCGGAGCAGGAGCGGGCGTTCCGTCTGCAGCTGGCCGCCAAGCTGCGGGGCGGGGAGCTGCCG